AATGTTCTCTGTTCTATTATTGAAGCCAAAGAATATATATATATATATTTATTTATTTACTTTCTTCAAGAATTCATTGCCAGAAGAAAAAAAAAAATACTTAATTTTTGTAATGCCATTAACAACACTATAAACAACCAAAAAATTCTGTTTTTCGATAATTGCAAATAAATTCCCGGACTTCATTGCTATAGAAAAAGACTAAAACGTTCTACTGAACTCTCTGACAACACTAATAAAATTCAAATATTTAATGCTATTCATTTATCGTAAATACCTACTTCATGGGTTATATTGCCAGAGGAAACTATAAATTCTCCTCTTGTACTATCAACAATACTTATAACAAGCAACTAATCCACTATTTTCCAATCGTTGCGTATAAACTTCTTAGACTTAATGTCTAAGTAAAAAAAAATGTTAAATTTTTTTAACGCCATTTACAACACTCATTGAAAGCAGATATTTCGTTGTTATTCAATGATTGCAAATATACTTCCCGGACTTTGATACCGGGAGAGAAAAAAATAAACTAATAAAAATTCTTCTCGCGTAATTAATATCCATTATCATTGCGTGTAAATAAATAAATAAGAAAAGGAAATGGCGAACGTAGTGAACAGGATCATAAGATTCATTAGAAATAAACAAATTAATTAAAATTGTAGAAAAACTCTCTTAACGACGTATCTTCGTTATTTTTCAATTATTGTAAGTGCTACCCGGATATTTACGTCACTGTAAAGAAGCAAACAGAAATCGTGATTAACATTTCATCCTCGGCATTATACATACAACAACTCATTTTACTTCAGAACTGTAATAGATTTTCTTTCTTTTTTTTGCGAGAGAGAGGCGTAGAGAAGAAGAAGGTGAAAGAGGAATTAACAAGGAGTTAATGCCTAGTCGTCAACCTCGTTTTCGAAATGACCGCAGATGAAGAAGTCCACTGAACTACAACGAGATCGATGCTCATGTATTTAATTGATATCGACAGACAGGCCTCGTTTCGGACAATCGACATACCAAGTCAATATCAAGGCCAACGACAGGAAACTAAAGAAGTTCGAACCCTATAATTATTCCACATTAATGTGTGTCATGATTGTTGATAAAAACAAAAAGGGAATAGAGCTCATCCAAACACTTAAGACGAATATGCGGATCAATGTAATTCAATACGCGATCTAGAAAAACAGCCCTGCCCCCATAACTAGGACTGCAGCAGATGATAAGCCAATCATTAGAGTGGTGAGTTTTATGAGAAAAGTTTTGATGTTTGGCTTAAGTAAGAGTAAGATTCTTCGCCAAGAGGCAAAAAGGAAGACTGTATAGATGAAAATGAAAGTAAGGATTGTTATGAGATCGTGTGAAAGGAGTAGAAAGTTTCTCAGAAAAGAGTCATGAAATTTTTATTAATTAAAAATTATTAAACGCTGATTAGAAGACCTTTTAATCACTTCGGTTCGGATAGCATTGAATCAAATTTCATCGCAGAAATATTGAGTAATTATCGTAATAGTATTGCATACAGAAAAAATAATATTGCACTGTAGTTTAATTTATTGAGAATAATGAGTTACTCTGAATAATTAAATAATCAAAGAAGGATATTGATATGTTCGGATATTGATATTGGATGTTGATATGTATAATAGAAAGATATGTTCAGAAGGAAAATGAGTGACACTTGTAAGAACTATTTCACGTTATGAAATATATATTTTTCATAATGTAATGCAATACTTATAGTATTATAATACGCAATGTATATATTATGCAAATATATTGTCCTACATTAAGCAATATAGTATTATATTACTCATATATATTGCAATATTATAATTATTATATTACACTTTGAAATGAATTTTATTAATATTGCATAGTGATAAAATAAAAATATTGTACTACTGTTGAATTTTTTGAGAATAATTAAGGAATAATAAATTATTCCGAATAATTCGGAATAATTAAATCATTGAAAAAAGATATAAATAAAGAGAGAATACGCACAGAAGGAACATTAGTGTCCTTTCTAAGCATTATCTTACAATGTGAAATGTCCATTTTTCACAGTATAATGCAATATTTTTTTCACTTCGAGATTGTTGAAACTTTCAAGTTATAGTTTTATTTATTTACTGGCAAAATAGTCATTTTTGTGTGGGGTGAAAATAAAAGTAAACAATCAGTAAAAGATGGTACTGATCAACATTACGAAAGCAAGCACAAAAAAAGAAAGAACAAAAAGACAGGCGATTAACTTGTATTAACATGCGGCATTTAATGAAATAACAATGAATTTATTTGTAAAACGGAGACAAATAGTAATGAATGTTTGAAAAAAAAATCTAACCTAAAACCTGCCTAAA